AAAAAGGGACTCACGTAGGAGGGGATCTCATTTAAAGCCTTGAATCCAGAATGTGTGAGTTCTCCAGAGGGAGAGCAACTCGTTGGAGGGCGGACAGGTTGGTGGAGTTGGACCCTGAGGAGTATGAGAGCAGACTGCCACTTAGATTTCCAACGGTACTTGAACAGATCATGTGGAACTTTTCCCCAGCTCAGTGTGAACACAAGATATCCTTCCGGGGGGAGAAGGCCAAAACTTCCAGTCAGCGGGAAGGCTTCCTGCCAAAAGGCAAAGACAATAAACATGGTTAGACTCAGAGAAACAAAGCACAGGTTAGACTCAGCTAATCGCGGCTTGGCTAGAGTACCCCAAACTGGCAAACACTGTAGTGGCAGTCAATGGCTCAAATACTCCCCGGTGATGAACCAATGAGCTGCAGGTGTGCAGGATGACCAACGAGGACAGGGCGCTACCTGGTGGTGGAGGGAGAGACAAACACAAAAAACCCACACAAAACTGGATTCCTAACAGATACTTACTCATCTCCTTTTTTTTTTTTTTTTATTTATCCCTGACAAGATTAATAACACAGTTACACAGTGTAGCTTTAAATATCTTATCATATAGTTTCATTTTTTGCCCTTTTTCCTGTTCATAAATTACAAAATGCTAACTTCATTTGTCTTTGCATTTTTCACCCAAATAATTAAAGGAATGTTATTTTTTTCATCCTTCTTCTCTACAGCTGGTTGGAGTTGCTGGCAATGCTGGAAAAGAAACACGGTGATGACAGTTGTTACAATTTTGAGAACCACATGATCCCCAGTAATTTTGTGAAGCCTCCACCAGAACCGGCGACCCTGCCCCCACAGGACCTATGGCAGAAGATATCGGGAGAAAACATCCTGACTCACCTTTACAGAGAGCCCTTCAACCCTTTACCGGGTCGTCAGAACTATAAGATCATTATCAACCCACGAGCTGTTTTTGAACTAACTGTCCATGGAGTGTTAAAGTCGAAGAAATCCTGTGTCTGGGTTGATGGGAAAATAGCCCGGATCTACCATATTAAGTAAGCTACAACTTATACTGCATCATGTGGATCGCTGTTTTGATACCTAATAACTCTTACTGTGCTCTCCACAAGGGATACCAAAGGTCAATAGAAAAAAGTACTAGAATAAATAAGTTATAAGTTAATATAATAGATAATAAATAAAGAAACAAATAAATACAGGAATAAATAAATAGAAATGTGATAAATGATAAATATTTTTAAATTAAACACTATTTGGATCAGCATGAATTTAACTTAGACTAAGCTTTTGTTTGGCACTGTTATATTAAGGGTATGGATATTGTTATGATGATTAATGAAAGAAATCTAAAATCAGCCAAAATATTCAACCCTTAATATGTTCCTCTGCTTTCCGTTTGAAGACCTCGAGATCTCACCGAACTGAAGCCAGATCAGATGATTTACGATGGCAGACTGCTGAGCTACAGCTCTCGTCTTTCATCTGCTGTCAATACTGTGCTCAGACAGACTGGAATTCTACCGGTAAGCAGCACATACCTTTCCTCAGGGATGCTTTAAGTCAAGCATGGTGACAGAATTTACTTTCTGATGACAGATCAAGTTAGCTTATTGAGCCTTTGCTGTCCTAGTCCATGTATTGGCACTCTTTCCCTGTATCTCAGCAGAAGGAGATGAATAAAACATCAAATTGTATAGAAAAGAGGAAAAGAGGATTTTCTAATTAATTAAAAAAATACTGTTAAT